CACTATGTGTGCAGATGCCTTTGAAAATAGTAGAGAAACTACAGCTGATCCAAAACAAGGCAGCAAGGCTGCTGATGGGGCCTGGATCACAAAATAAACAAAAACAAAAACCCAACATTATGCCAGTCCTCTTCCAGCTGCACTGACTGCCAGTTGAAGTCCAGGCCCGATTCAAAATGCTAGTACTTCCATTCAAAGTCCGAAACAACTTGGCACCAGGTTATCTGAAGGATCTTCTCATCCCATATGTACCTATTCAAACCCTGAGGTCATCTTCAGGGGTCATTCTCTGAAAGCCCTGACCAAAGGAAGTAAAGCAGGTGGCTACCAGCAGGAGGACCTTTTTTATTGTGGCACCCCAGTTGCACAATAAGCATCCTGAAGAGGTATACCTAGCCCCTACTTTATATTCTTTTTGGCAACAGGTGAAAAACTTTTCATTCTTCCAGCATTTTAATTTTAACTTTTTTAAAATATTGCATCTGTTTCACTGCTATGTTTCTGTGCTGGTTCAATTGCCATTGTGGTCTGGTTGTTTTAGGTTAAATGTATTTATATGAGTGTTTTTGCTTGTATGTATTTTGTAATTTAGGTTAGTTGTATCTTACATGTGTGCTTGTGCTCCTGTCTTTCTTAACCACCCAGAGAGCTTTGCCTGTTGGGTGGTATAAAATGAATCAATCAATCTTTAGTTATTTTAAATTGTGAGGTATATATTTAGCATTCAATTTTTTCATCTTAGTGGTGAATGCTGTTCATCTGATGCATTGTGGCAGTAGAATTGAGAGCTATCGATTTCCTTAGCAGCCTTGATAGGTGTATGTTGAAGTATTTGCATTTAAAAGAGCAAAAGTTAATCCAGCTTTGTGTGCAGAGGGTCGGGGATTAAATGAGCCATTAAAGTGTGTTTAGGTATCTTCCTAAGTGACACTTAGAATTAACAACTACCAATACTGCATCAAGTTTTGCCTGGAGTCCCAACTGAATGTGCTCAACTGTACCAGGTGAAGGTTTTTGACAACCCTTGGGCAAGGCACTCTTAATGGCCCTCTCAGTGCCATTGTCATCACCTGCTATTGTTTCTCCTGAAACAATTGCTCTCACTCACCTGATGTCAGTCCTTTGTTTAAATAGTGAATGCATGTCTAGGTTAGTAGACCTTACCTTTATAAAGTTTCCATGTAGAAATGGTGTCAGAAGCAAGGAAGGCTGAATGCTATCTCACTGTCTAATGGCAGCACTGTATATGGGTCCAGTTGTGGGATGATGGCTTGAAGATGGAGATGTTAGAATCCAACTCTATACTGAAAGTACAGGCAACAGCCTGAAATGGGCCCAAAGGCAAGAGTACTCAGCTTATTACAGACTGAGAAAATAGTAGTGGAAACAACACTGAAGATCAACAGTTCTGGAGCAGGAAACAGACTGCAGATTCCTGAGCGAAGTTTGCAGTATACTCCTCAGCTGCAGCATAAGAAAAGGCTTTGAAATGACCACCTAAGAACAAAAGAAGAGGCTTGCAGTACTCAGGCCAAAGGCATATCTAATGCAACATTCTGTTTCTCACAGTAGCGAATGCCATGGCAAGGCTGGCAAGAGCCTTTTCCTATTGTTGCTTCCCAGCAATTTCAGCTGACAGGTACGCTGCATCCAATCATGAAAGCAATATATAAGGTCTTCATATCCAGTGGCCATGATAGCCTGAGGGCACAATCCTATGGCCTGCTCATGTTGGGGGGGGGGCATAGGAGCATTCAGAGCCTGAGCTCCAGGATCCTATGACCCCTAAGCTGGGACTCTGAAGGCTGAGCACTCACCTCTATCTCCTCACAGTCCACATGGAAAGCACTAAGGATACAACTGAGCTTCAGAGATGAGGAAAAGGGGCATGTTGAGGGGAGGGGAGACAGGCCAATGGTTAAGCCATTACCTGTTGGTGCCCCAGTCTCCTTCCCTCTCTTTCTGATGTTTCATCCAGGCAGCTGAAAATGAGGTCTAGGTGAAATGAGACGCTACAGAAGTAGCGTTCATTTCCACCACAATTGGCTTATGCCCTTATAATCCATTAATTTATCTAAGTTATTTTTAAAGACACCCAAGTTGGTGGCTTCATCACAGCTCACAAATTCCATAGTTTTACTATGTATGGTGCTTTATTTTGTCTGTCCTTCATCTCCCTTTATTTAGGTTTAGTGAATAAGTGCTAATTCTAGTAATGTAACAAAGAAAAACTTCTCTATATCCATATTCTGCACATCATGCTCTTCTTTGCTACTTACATTTGTTTCTGCCTCCACACCATTAGTTGTCCTTTTGCCAAATAGACTTAAACATTGCAACATTTCCTTGTACAGGAAGTCAAAGCCCTCTGGTGTCATGCTAAGGTCCTAAGCTAGTTTGACCCCAAGAGGTCATATGCCTAAGTATGGGAATAGGCATTGCACCCTAGATTCCAAACACAATGCGTATTTCCTTTGTAAACATTCACTTCAGAATGAAATGGCCTGCACTGGATCTGTTTGAAGGCTACACAGATGCCATGTTTCATCAAGTAGATCATGGATGACTATTATTCAGTTAGTAATTCAACAGGTGTAAGTTTTAGAAGCACTAAAACTTCTATTAAATTTGTTTTGCTATTAGCCTTACCTAAATGGGCAGTCCTGTGCCCCTTTAATATATATATTAGAGTGCAATACTATGGATGTTTAGACATAAAAATGGCATGCTGCTTTCTGCATCCCACAGCTGCCATGTGCAATTTACCTGCAGAGAGAGGCTATGTTCATTCCCTCTCGGCTCTCTTAATGCCAGGAGACAAGCAAGGCTTTGGTTTGTAAGTGGGTCTATTGAGCTGGAAGATGGTTTTTAAAAATTCTTTTGCTGTGCCTTTCATTGCTTACTGTATTGTTTTTATCAAGCTTTATTAGTGATTGTGAGCCACCCTGAGTGCCAATTTTGATTGAAAGGCAAGGTACATCATAAATGATAGGATTGTGCCCTAATCAGACTACTTGGGTACTTGTTAAGCAGGCTAGTATCTTTTTCATAAAACAAATTAACTGCTTATTGAGCAACTGAGAAGAATGCTGACTTGACTGCATATTATTCCTTATATAGAATGGACAAAATATGAATGTGTTCAATGAAAGTGAAAAGGTAAGGAAAGACCTGTGGAAAACTTCATAGCCCCCTTTCCCAGATGTTTTAGATCACCTTTTGATGTTTTAGGCCACCTTTTATTTTTAATTGTGCAAATTATAAACAGTATTGGCCAATAATAAACAAATCTACCAATCCTTCCAATTGGGAAATCCAATTCATTAGACAGGAATTAATTAGTGTAACTATTTGTATTGATTATATCATACACCAATGCTTCACTTATAACATACTATGTTTATAACATGTCTACCTCACTTTCTACTGCTGCAGTTTTGGAAATCCCCAGGTGGTATATTTGAAATGTAAATGACTTGAACTAGCAAAATTGCAGGGAAAGCATACACTTCCTATATAATTGTGGTCAGTGATAACAATGCTGATATAAACTAGATGAATTCTGACAGGATTCTAATTTTTAAAAACTACTTTGAAAGTGGATGTGTACTCTTACTGTAGGAGTGCTTTTCAGAGATGATCTGCTGCAGAGCTGCCCGAATGTCAGCCGTAATAGGATATAATGGAAAGTAAATGAGTTAATGTGAGGATTCATGAGAATCAAATGATGTGTATGTATATTGTTTATCACAGCAAAAAAACCCAAAAACGCATTTTACTATAATGTGTTTCAGTCTAGGTATTCTGAGGTAAAGAATACTAAGGATTCTGTTGAACATTCTCACACAGCTGTGAAGGAAAACACTTAATACCAACTAACCTTATCCATTTAACTTTGACAAATTACTAAAATCCTTTTTTTCCTTTCTCATTTTAAAATATTGACTAATTTTAGTCATGCAAAGGACATGTTATTACAACACAAATAATACTAAAATGTCTTTGGAGAAATAAAAAAGTAATGCTGCAGTCTCAGACACTTACTTGGGAGTAAGACGCATTGAACTCACTGTGGGTTATTTATAAGTAAATACGCATAGGATTTCAGTTAACTAAAAATTACTGATGCTATAACATAGTTCAGTTTGCTTCCCAAATATAAAATTAGTAAAGACACAGCATGTTAAGATTCAGAAAACAGCTTTTGTATAGCCTGATCCAATGGCCACCACTACATTAGGGCTTACTCTGATGTAAACTCATCAATATTATATACCCTCTAAGCAGCAACTTATGAACATATTAATATTACAAGAACCACTCATATCTAGAATGTGACTTTGCCTTTTGATTGTTCCGTTACTATGAGTTATTTTTTACTGGTGCCTCCTGAAGATATGGACAAGATCCTTGGAAATATGAGGACCACCTGTGTGCTTGTCCCTCTTGCAGTTTAAAGTGGCTAGAAGTGGAGCATACAGTTGGATGGAAAAGAAAAGCCTCCTTGAGAGAAGTAATAATAGCAACCTTCAAAGAAGACTTCTTTAGATGCCAAAGTTTTGGATATTTATTGCCCTATTGGCAAATGGACCACTTTGGGGTCAAGATGCTCAAACATGTGGTCCAGTTCTAGGAACTTCCTAGATAGTGTTTCTGTAGATGCTTTACAACTATCATAAAATAGCTTTTCACAAGCTTGGAGGCTGCTGAAGGAAACCTTATGTAAGAAATAACAGGATAGGAGGCTTGCTTCATTGTCCCCCTCCATCCCTATATGAGATTACTCAAACCTTCCCCAACATGGTGCTCTCCAGATGTTTTGGACCACAACTCCCTAAAGTCTCAGTTAATAATCAGGGATTATGGGACTTGTACTTTAAAATCTCTAGAGAGTGCAACGCTGGGAAAGGCTGGATTACCCAGTAGCAAGGGGGGGGGGGAACCGTATTCTGCACATGCTCAGAGCTACGCCTCTCTTTTGCTTCTCTATGTTTCTCCAGCGTTGCTTGACGAACGTTCTTGCTCCAATGGCCCGAGAGCTACGCCCTTGGGAGGAAAACAAGCCCTACCTACAGGAAAGGCCAATGCTGGAGGAAGTGACCCCACAATCAATGCCGCCGCCTCCGAGCTAAGGGCCTGTTCTTAGCCGGTTGGAACGCCGCGGACTGCGTGGAAAACAAGACCCGAGATTTTTCCGCTCCGATCCTCCCCCTCCAACTTCTTCCTCCCCTGGTGGTCAGGCCAGGTTGCTTCCTGTTTCTCTTCCAGAAACCAAACTCCTATGAGGCAGCTTGAGAGGCGGTTTCGCTGCGGTCCGGGGGTGCCGGTGGGCGGCCGGGTCTTCTCGCGAAACCTCTCTGGTGCAGCCGATCCCAGCCCCTGGAGAGAGGGAAGGCGCGGAGCGGCAGCTCCACCTCCCGGGCCGGTTCTGGCTGGGGGCGACTCGCTTCCTTGCCGCCAATTGAGCGACGGCGCCCAGCGGCAGCAGGCGGGGTGATGTGACCCCCTGGCGGCGCGGCCGGCGGGCCAGCACTTGCAGGACGGGAAGATGTGGCTGAAGCCCGAGGAGGTGCTGCTGAAAAACGCCCTCAAGCTGTGGGTGACCCAGAAGAGCAGCGGCTACTTCATTTTGCAGCGCCGGCGGGGACACGGCGACAGCGGCGGGCGCTTTACTGGTACTGACCCACCGAGCGGGGCTGGCTGGCTGGGTTGCGGGTTGGATGGTCCGAGCCCAGAGGGTTGGGGGTCTGACTAGGTCGGCTGGAAGCGGCCGTGGAGAGGCAAAGGGCTGGCTGACCCGCGGCTGCTGGAGAGGCGGCAAGCCTTGCGCAGGAAGGCAGGGAGGCAGGCGTGGAAATAGAACTCGTCTCTCATCTGCGGAGGGCGAGCTGGGCTGCCTTGGCTGGGCCGTGGGGGAACCTCATCGCGCTCGCCTTTCTCAAGGAGGAGGCCCACCGGTGGTCCCGCCTTTCTGTCCCATCTAGTCCACAAAGCTCATGCCACAACACGCCTGCTGGTCTTTAAAGGGGTGTGTGTGTGTGTGGTTTTTCTGTAGCCCGACTCTGATCAAACTCATAGCTGAGGGGAAAGTAACTTCTATGGGGTGTGCGGGTGTGCCTTGACTGAGAGGCGGGGTTGTTTGGAGAGATGGTTTCTTTTGTACTTTGGGCTGGGGAAGGTAGATAGACGGAGAGAAACAAGGTTCTTTGTTCATTCTTATGGCTGGAGCAAGAGGCCCCAGCTAAAGAACAGGGAACCTGAATATGTTCCCCCTTTGGGCTTGATTGTGCACTACAAATAGTGTCTTTCCTTCTTTTCCTTTCAGTGGACAAACTAGACTGGGTGGTCTTGATTAAAGGGAGTAGGGAAGAGACAGCTGATATCTTTGTGCAAATATAAGCACGTCAAACCCCCATAAAAGAAAAAAAAGTATCCTTAAAGGTTTCTGTTCTCCAAAGACTCCAGTATTTCAAATTAGTTGCATTCAAAATGTCTAGAACATATTGTTCAGGTGCCTGGGACAGCTGTTAAGACAAAGGAGAGGAATTAGAGAAAGAGAAATATTTTAAAGCCACAGTTTTCAAGATGCTGAAACTTAATTTCTTAAGATAAGATGTAGAATATGAAGGCACCGAAAAGATGTATTTAAGCTGTGAAAATGAGCAGAATATGTGACATTTTGCAAGAGTTGCCCAACTTCGGAATTTCAGTACAGGCAAGGCAGTCAGTTAAAGACAACTCTGCCTTTTACTGGTCTTAAAAGAGTGGTTGTATTTATAACTTCGTTTGTATCTCTCATAATTATAGCTAACTAATAGGGAATAAATAAGTTGCTGGGTTTTTTTTCACTGAGTGAACATAATGGTGGCTAAATTGTGAGCTATTTTTGTGAGCTGCCCCGAGGCTTCGGTGAATGAGGCGGCATAGAAGCTCGCTAAATAAATAAATATGGTGGTCAGACATGCAATACAAATGATATGATTGCACTCATTGTTTAGGATAGGATGAATATGTTGAGCATGTAGAGGAACAGTTGGACACTTATACATTGATACTGTTTTAGAAGAACATTTTCTAGGTTAACAATAAACACTTTGTTTTTCTAAGTTAAACTTTGTAACTTTCTAGGTTAACAATAAAAATAAAGATTTCCAGCATTTATTGTTAATGTGGTATTTCTTGTGAATACAATAATGTTTTGGAAGTGAATTGCACAGCGACTGCCCAAATTGTGTGTCAGAAATTCTTCTGCCTTCAGAAATGCTCTTACATTTTCCACTGTTGAACAGCCACAAGTACAGTTCCAATGTAGAGTATGTGTGTCAGGCTGGGGAAAACTATTTCCATTCTTGAAGTGCCATCACTAGTGTCAGCACAATTATGATCCTGGACTTTTCAACTAAAGTAGTAATTATCATATACTTTTATGGCACAGTGCAGATCTTGACTTACAATGTGATTAAAATACACTGTTCCATGCATGTGGAGCAGCTAGTTCCACCATAAAGTGAAGATGCTATCGGTTTCAGTCATCTTGCCAACTCTTCCTGTCACCACCTGTAGCACATCTTTCTTTGGCTCCAACCACCCAATGTCTCTATTTGCTGTGCCCCATAAGTTCTCGGGGAAATCAACCTTACGATAACAAAACCAACACTTCATTTTTGAGGCACTACACTTTTGAATAGCAGATGTTGAAGATAAAATAGGGCCATTGTTGCCCCAGTATCTTAGTTGTAAACTTTGTATAAGCATCTTGATGGCCTTTGTAAGAATTAGTATGCAGAACCAATTCTAAGCAGAAGTTGAGAGAGGCAATACACTAGGTGTGACCAGACTTGCTCAAAGAGCCACATATGGTAAAATTCAGATGTTTGAAAGCTGCAAATGGGTGCCAGGTGGTTAACAGTGAGCCGCAAAATAAACTCAAAGGCTACCCCTACAATATTTTACTCATTTATTAAAGGCATTTTTATACCATTCCTTTAGTCTGAACAATTTTCAGAACAGTTTACAACACATGAAAAGCTTAAAACATAACATATAATGCCAAACTAGATTTAAACAATCCCAAGATAAAACCAATAAGAATACAACCTCATAGTAATAAAACAGAATATAAAACCAAATATATAATCCAATAAGAATAATTATACATTAATTAAATCTTAAAGCAAATTAAACAAATGACCACAGTGTCATATAAAATAAGCTAAATATATGATTTTAATTAAAATGATGAGAAAATAAAATATTTTAGCCTGGCACCAAAAGGTAATAACATTGGAGCCAGGAAGCACCTCTCTAAGGAGCTGGTTCCTTAACTAGGGGGCTACAGCTGAAAAGGTCCTTCTCCAGGTAGCCACCTTCCTTATATCTTTCACAGCAGGCTTCCAGAGAAGGACCTCTCATGTTGTCCTTAGGGTCTGGGCAGGGGTGTATCCCTTTGAATACTAGATGCTAGAGCCAAATGAAAGGTTAAGGTCATTGCCTTCATGTTCTGTTTGATGAATTAGAAACATCTGGCTATCCAGATTTCCCTCCAGTTCATTTCCCTTCCATATCTAAATTTGTTTATCTCCAGCAACCCTTCATGTTAATTGTTTCAACAAGCATTTAGGATTTGAGATGGTCAATATAATATGCAGTTTGGAAATATTATGCAGAGACTAGCAAGTGATCCTAATAGCCTTTGTCCTGGCAATACACATTTGCAAATCCATGAAGTACATTATATGAATTTATTTATACAATGATAGCACTGTGTGTAGTGCTTACTGTGATTACTGTACAGAATTTTAACTACTTTATTCACCATTTAGATTTTTTTGAGCTATTTAAAGATCAGAAAGTTAAACCAGGAGCAAAAGCAGTACATAATTGGTTCAAAGTCTTTCTTGCAATCTAAATAACAAATCTACACAAATAATAGTCCCAAGAATTATCATGAAAAAACCCAGCGGTAAACATTCAGTCAGATCCATTTGTTTATTTGAAATACTCCAGAACAGGCTATCACATGTGTTTAAATTCCCATGTTTTTCTGATTGCTTTTTTGTGTGGAAATACTTCTTTTTGCAATTTCATATTTCAGAATGACCCTCTTTTAACACACAAATCATTGAAAATACATGCCTTCAGTATAGTTCTATTTTAAAGTTGAAAGGGAATTGGTGCTGGAGATATAACTTCTTATAGGAGCCAATTTCTTTCCCTGCTACAGAGTGAGATTTGTTTTCCTTCACCTTTGCACTTCTTCTGACATATATCCAGACTCCTGAACCAGTATGAAGTTTGTTCATCTTGTCATGTTTGGGGTACCTTTTCGATTTTCTAAATCTGTTTATCTGGTACATTTGCTCAGTTTGTGCTTCCTTCCCCTGCTCCCCAAAGCTTTCTTGTTCTTCAATTCATACTGTATTAGTTGTAGTTGCGGCCAAACGGGATGAGGTCAGATTGCAGTGTGTTAAAAATACTAATGTTTATTCCTGGGCTTTCTGTTCAAAGAAATTTTAGGGCAATAGGCAAATTGTTTTTGTGGTTTCCCCAAAGAAAGTGCAGTCTGTTCTGATGGATATTCTGCTGATATAAACTTATTAGAGTTGATAGTTTTAAAGAAGTAGTGCAGTGGAAATAATCCAAGTCAAAGTTAAGCACATTCACATCCTAGAACTGCTTCTCAGAACCTCTCTATGCAGACACCTCCCTTATTTCTTTTAATAAATTCAACTTTTCAAGGAAGTTGAAAAGGAATCCTATGAATCATTCCCCTAGTCAAAGAGCCCCCAAAGCTCTGCTTGTGGACACTCATTTCCCACCACCTTCACAAATTGTTTTTAATTTAATATTGAAAAATTGTAAGGTGCCAGGTTCTCCTTTTCCTGAACCTGTTGCTGATCAGCTGTTTAGTGGGCAGAGAAAAAAACCAAAGAGTTGAAAGGGGAGAAAAAGCAGGTCTAGCAGGTAGGAGTAGGGAGAAACATCAAAGTACAGAAGTGAAGTAAATGAGAAATGGGGCTAGGGGTTGGGAGTGGAGGATCACAGTAAGATAAAGTGATGAGTGTGTGAGACAGAGAAAGGAAGAAAGGAGATGACAAAGGGAGGCTGGCAGTGGAGGGCAAGTGAGCGAAGAATGGTCTGTGGGGATAGAAGAAAATTGGGTGTGCCAGGAAGCAACTTGTTCTATTTCACCTGCCCCCTCAGCCCTCTACCCTTGCTATTTCCCCTCTTCGTTACCCCTTGAGTAGCTAGGTCCCCATGGCAGCCATTATGTGATTAGCTACATCTCTCATAGAAACTGTTCTATGGTGCTGCTCAAAGCAATTTCTCAAATTCCTAAATATGCTCATGCTTCCAGAAAGGTTGTGGCAAAGTCTCTGAATTTATATTTTTTGCTTATGGCTAAGATGAAGTACACATAATTGAAATGTTACACAGTCGTCCTCTGTTTATTCATGTATACCAACATTTCTCCCCTCTCTTCTCTTGTTTCCCAGTATTATTTTAGATTTTAATACCTCTGCTTCAGGAACATTTCATAGCTATGAAAAACACCATCTACTTAGGTGGTGCAAAATAAATATATAATTAAACTTAGTAGAAAATGTAAGTACATGCTGAAAAATCTCATACTGAAATCAATTAAAATGCTCAATTTTGGAAGCATTGTGCTCTT